AATCCCCAGCCCCTGTTCCTGCCACTTTCTGAAGCAGGTCTGAAAGCCCTTTTCTGGGAGTGCTGTTAGTTGTGCTAGTGTGGCTATTCCAATGGCCTGAGTCCATTCAAAATGCTTCCCTGTCACGGTCATTTTGACTTTTGGGAAAAGCCAGAAGTCGCATGGTGCCAGATCTGGTGAATAAGGTGGATGAGGACAACTATTGTTTATTTGACAGAAATTGCTGTACACATTTGATAAAGGAGGGGTGATCATAGCATACACTGAATGTTTAAATTAGAAAATTTATTCTAGTAAATGTCACGGTGGCATTAACCCTCCTCAAAATATGCCTTGCTTCAAATACAATTACCCCATTATTCTTGGAAATGTGTCTTTTACTGTAATTTTTAAAATTTAACCATGCACATCTTTCAATCATCCCTTGTATACAGAATAGATAAAAAGCACTCTGAATCAAATTTTGGAAGGCAACACCCTTGCCTTCCAAGGCAACACCCTTTATTTAAGGCAACACCCTTTATTTGAGGCAACACCCTTATTTTACGGCAACACCCTTGCAACTCAAAATATTATCAAATTAATGTGGAAATTTAAAAATATGGCTCAAAATTATGTGACACTTCTTCCGTGGAGGGATGGATTTTTGTTCCTGATTAGTTGGGATTCTGTGTCTGCTGTTTTCCTTGTCACTGGATCGGGCCTTAAGAAACAGGCAGCTCCTATTCCCCGCCTCTTTGCATACTTAAAATTACCACGCTATAAGGAAGCTCACGTAGTTCGTGGAAAGCTCTGTATGAAGTGAAAGAGAGCCAAGGCCCCAGCACTGTCTGAGCTCCCTCCTGACAGCCAGCACCGAATTCTTACCCATTTGAGTGAGTCATCTTGGAAGTGAGTCTTTCAATACTCGGCTAAGTTGACTCAGAAATGTGCTGCTCCATTGATCATGCACCACTTGGAGATCTCTGAGCAAAACGAAATTGTGTTAAGTCGGAAGGTTTTGGGTGGTGTATTATACATAAATCAGTGAAATTTGTGTAGGTTGAGTTTACCTAGAAAGCCTTCTATGGAACCTAGTTCACTGGTCTGGCAGTAAGGTTTTTCTGTCTTCTTTTACAGTCTACAGTCAAATATATGATCTCCACTGGGAATATGACTTCTCAATCAGAGAAATTTCCTTTAAGGAAAGGACATGAGATTTGGGACAGATGATAAGAAAAACTCTTGCTTTTCAAGGTCCTTTCTTGGACTTTGATTTCAAGGTGACAAAATCTGTTTAACAGGATTCCAGGAGGTCATGTTCTGATGGAGTGATTTAGTCTCCCAAGATACAAATACTCAGGAGGAACTTTAGGTCTTTGATTGGGCTAGAGCTTAGAGAGGCACCGTGGAATCGAAGACTGAAGTGTTTATGTCAGTCTTCATAAAAACAGACTGCTTGGGCTGGGGAAGTACGAAGTCGTGGAATACCTAGCATGCATGAGGCCCTCTGTTCTATCCCCAGCACTGGAAACACACACACACACACACACACACACACACACACACACACACACACACACACGTAGCCAGGGAAAAAGCCTTCTTGTTTGAATAAGGATTATTAAGAGGTGGGCAGGTCTGCCTCCTTGCAGATTGATAGGATCCAGGTTTGAACTTGAATTTAGGCCAGTGATCTCACAGTCTTTAGCACTCATAGTGGTACAGGCAGCTGAGTTAGATAGAAATATTAGAAATATTATGGCAGTCAGGCCCAGGGCCAGGCCCTCAAAGAAGCCAGTGCCGAGGAGGATGAGATGCCTTGCAACGGTGGGGAAAACAGACAGCTCCAGCTGTGGACAAAAGATTAAACAGATGCGCCCACATACTTCCCTGGGGATGGACCTCAGGGACTGATATTCTAAATAGGTAGCAATTGCCTTGAAAAAGCTAACCCCCTACGAGAAAGGCCCCTGTTCTGTATTCATGCCCGCTTGCTACGTGCCTGCTTCCCCATTTGATCCCAATTTAATCAATTTTACCTGAACAATTATACTTGTAATCTTATTGGCTGTCCAGACTTTTGTCCCACCTCATGCCCATCTAGCGAGTTCCCATGTTTTCTACCCTGTACTTGCCTCACCTTGTGTTTTTCCTCCATAAAAGTCCCTAGAAAAGACAGGCTCCTGGGCAACCCCTTGGGACCCCCCCTTCCGTCCCTCTCTGGGACAGAAGCTTTCTTTCCCTCAGTAAGTATATTCTGCTCTTAACCTCCGTGGTTCCTAAAATTCATTCTTCTATTTTAGAAAACGTGAACTCGCCCCAGATACAGTTCAGACTCGGAGGGTTTTTTTCCCCCTATATCAATAGTAGGTGCTGGAGTTGAGATTAAAACGTTGAACGATAAATACCAAGCCTCTCTTGCCAGACTTGCTTGTGGGTTCCCATTCGTAAACCCTCTGTGGCTTAGTTCTAGCGAGAGATTTCCTATTATTAGGCAACATAGATAAGGCCTACGAGGAGAAAATTTTTGCATGCAGTCTTGCGGTGTAAATTCTTGGAACCCGAGTCACGGGTTACAACTAATAAATTTCATGATGAAGTGAAGTCACTATGCTCTTTTCCGTCGACAGAGGCAGCCTGAGTATTCTGGACGCGATGCAGCTTCCAGGCGGAATCAGGGACTCCCTCAGTCCCCTCTCCTCTGCCCCGCCCAAGAGAAAGGCAACCGAGCCGCTCGCAGTGGCAGTAGCTCTCGAACAGCTGCGTGGGGGACACCGGCGTGAGCCGTTTAGGCACAGCACAGCTGGCTCGGGACAGGATCAGGGGGTGGCCAGGAGTAGCTTCCCGCTGGGAAAGCGACCGCACCTCCAGGGCTTCACCGTGGGGACTGCAGCCCACTCAGGAATCCCGGCCCCTAGGGGGAGTGTCCCCGCCCCATGACAGCGCGGCGGCCGGATCTTGAATTTCAACACAAAGGGAATCCTCGGCCGCAGGAAGTGCATCACTGGGGGGGTGCGGAGGCGGGGAGAAGGGGATGCCTCCTTTCTCTCCGCCCCCCTTCCGGAGCCTCGGGCAGCAGTGACGAAACCCGCGGGGTCTCTCCTTCGCTCTAGGAGCCCGGAGAACTCAAGCGGCGAACCCCCAGCTAGCCGGAGTTGGGGGAGGGGCAGCGCCTCCCACCCCGCCGCGGCTCGGACACCTGTTCGCTTTCCCCTCCTTTCCTTCCGGGTGCACCGGCACCTGGCTCACGTTGGTTCTTCTCTCCCTGGGCTCTCGCTTGCCTCGCACACCTTGCTCCCTTCTGGGGCTCCGATGCTGTCGGAAGGGCCCCCTGCCCGCCCGCAGCGCTGCGCCCCGCCTCGGGCGACTTTCCCTGCGGGAGCGCGCGGGCAGAGACCGCTTTCGTTTTCCGAGACGCCCGCAGTTCCCGGCCTCGGGCCAGGCTTTCTGCGTGGAGGCGTCGGTGTCGGGGTCGCCTTGCTATCGGACCTGGAGCAGACGGGGCCAGACAGGCTGGGGAATTTCGATGAAAGCTGTTCTTGCGAGACAACCTCAGAGTTTTTATTTATGTGCTATTTTGCAAGTCAATAAAAAGAGCAAACTTTTCCATAAGTGCGTTATTCACATTTCACAGGAGAGTGGGGAAGCATCCATTTCCATGAAAAACGCTTTTTTCTTCTTTTAGTTTTGGGGGTGGTGAGTAGGGAGGGTGGCCGAAGCCACACTTCAGCTGGAGGTCGGAGCCGAGGTTGAGAGCGCCGGCGCTCGGGGCCAGTTCCCAAGGCGAAGACCCGGCGCCTGGGCAGAGGGGCGGGTGCAGCCAACTTGCAGCCGCCCGGCCCCGGCGCGGCAGCTCACAAAGGCAGGTGCACCGGAAGGGGGCCGCCTCCCCGAGCCCAGGCCGCCGCCGCTCCCTCGGACCCCCCCCCCCCAAGTTCCAGGCGGAGGCGGGCTACCTGCGGCGACCTGTCTCCTCCCTCCGAGCGCACCACACCCACAGGACTCCGGTCTCCCGGGGAGAGGGGCCGAGCGGGAACAAAGGGGTCTTTGTTCGCCGGCTCGGGGGTGGGAGCCGCTCTAGCGCACTTCCCGGCGCCCCTCTGGGACCCGAGCTCCGGCCGCAGCCTCCCCGAGGTCGGGCGCCTCCCCGCGGCGCGACCCCGGGCTCGGGTCAGG